TTATATGTAAGTTTGTTTCCACCATGGCACGGATCGATCAACTTTTGGTATATATCAGGCCTCGGGAACTGCACTTTTTAGCGGGCCTGTTTTACATTTTTGAACATTTTGAAGAAAATATTCAACCGATTTACTTGAAATTTTATATATAAGCTCAGCTCGACCGTCCGCAAAAATTCGTATATTTTGGAAGAAATCAGGCATCGGCAACTAGACGTTTACTACGGGCCAAATATACATTTTTGTGTATATAAAGAGAAATAATCAACCGATTTCATTGAAATTTAATATATGAACTCCTCGTATTAAAACAATGAACGTATAAATTTTTTGGAAAGATCAGGGCTTGAAAACGGATTTGCGGGCCGATTTTACATTTTTCACCATTTTGAAGAAAGTATTCAACCGATTTACTTGAAATTTCATATATAAGCTTTGCTCGATCATACGCAAAAATTCCTAACTTTTGGAAGAAAGCAGGCATCAGCAACTGGGCGTTTACTACGGGCCAAATATACATTTTTGTGAATATAAAGAGAAATAATCAACCGATTTCATCGAAATTTAATATATGAATTCCTCATATTAAAGCAATGAACTATAACTTTTTTGGAAAGATCAGGGCTCGAGAACTGATTTGCGGGCCGATTTTACATTTTTCACCATATCCACAGAACAAATTGATGGAATTTCTTGAAATTTGATATTTGAGTTCTGGTTGTTACCGAAACTAACTGGCGAGCATTTCAGGGAATTCGGGTAGCACAAAGCGAAACTCTACTAAGAGCCAAATTTACATTTTTCTAAGTATGTTAACTATAAGCTGACTAATCTCCTAAAAATTGGAAAGAAGTATTTAACAGACATTTTTGTAATATTCTGTAACACTTTCACTTAACTAGACAATAAACAATGCGGTCGGTTATGTGCTGACCACATCAGATTTTTTTTTTTTTTTAATTTATAAAACATACGAGTACTGGAAAAGTTAATAAACAACAAATATAAGTTTATGAAGGATTAAATAAAAAAAAAAAAGTTTATTAAAAAAATAGGAGGAAAACAAAGAGAACAGAACACTACAAAAGAAAAAATTTTTAACGTAAATACCGTAAAGAATCAAATGGTAACGTACTTATAAGTATAAAACGGCGGAAAATTTTTCTTTTTAAAAAAAAAAAGGAAAAAATTTTTTAAATAGAAAATAGTTTTTTCCTTATTTTTTTCATTATTTTTATTATTGAGGAAAAGTTCGAACAAAACCTAAATAAAATGAAAACTTTAATTTTTTGTTTGTTCGTTTTGTTAATTTTTACTTGTACTTTATTATTTTTGTTTTCGCGCTTTTCACACCCATTAAAGAATACAAAATGTTTATACAGACTTAATATGTAAAAACGCTGTATGCATATGAAGAAGAAATTAAAAATTGTCGAATTATTAACATTCGAAACATAAATTGTCGAATTATTAATGGTTTAATGTTGCGAATATAGTGTGCTTTCATTACTTAAATTGCAACTCTTGGAAATATTTTTAATTTGAACCAAAATATATTCAGAATGCAGATTTATGTGTTAGCAGGGATTAAGACAAATTACTGCAGCCGTCCATACATATAAATGCTTATCACTATATATGGGGAGCTGAAATGTAAGATGGCCTAACTCTTACTCCCAAAATTTTTGCCCCAATATGTGGGTTAGGACACTTTTCCACTAGTAAAAATTAAATTTTGCGTTTAGGCCAAAAAATATCGAAATGTAGGAAATATTTGCCCTTTTTTGTCAATGAAATTCAATTTGGAACCTAATTTTACATACATTTCTAACAAAAAGGCCAAAATTTGGGAAGTGAGGATTATGTCATTTTGCTTCTGAGCCTCTCATCTCACGTAATTGTAGATTCTCCGAAGCGCAACCCTCCACCTGTTACACCTATCACAATGGTGCCATATCATATTATATATTTTCTCAAGTGAAATAATTGTCTCCTGAACAATACTTCATGAAAGGAAAGATATTTGCAATTTTTATATACAAATAAATAATTGGAAAATTTTAAATATTTTTATTAGAAACTTTTGAAATATTGAAGCAAAATTGAATTTTTAGTTCAAAACTCTTAGGGCAATATGAAAAATTGTTCTACCCAAAGTTAAATTTATACAAGCGATCAAATAGACTTCGACTTAAAATAACCGATCAGAAAATTTTTAAAAATCCAAAAATTGATATTCAGACATTGGCCAATGGAAAATTTTTAAACACACAGTAAATTTAAGTAAACTTAAAAGAAATGTTCCCGGGTATAACTTCAGGAATTCTTTAAATCTAAAGTCTTTAAATTTTACGTGCCTAGCATTTAAGTTTTTTATTTTGAATTTATTGAAATGGGAGAAGATTAAGAAGAAATCATGCAGTAATAAAATGCAAAATCAATATTTAATGTTCTATTTAATTCAAATAGACACACAAAACAAATAGGGTAAGGAGTAATTAAATAAAGTTGGGTCAAACCAATGGTTTGTATTGTAGCACTTTTCCCTTCAACAAGTGAAAATTCTGCTTTTAAATACAGTCTATGTATAGCTATCACACTATTAAAATTATTTTCATTCATATACAAAACTATTTCTAGGATTGCATATATTTAGGATGACGCATATATGCAGTCTTTGAAATAAAGCAAAAATTAATATAAAAAGGGGTTAACATAATGCTCGATTTTAAGGGTTAATTGTGTGAGTTAAGAAAAATAATTATATTTTTTAATTTCATGGAATTTACCGTTAGCTTTTTGCGTTTATAAAAATTTGGAAAAGCTTACGGTTTCGGAAATATAAGGTGTCAAAAATTCAAATTTTACGAATTTCAAGAGGTGATAACTTGAGAGGGGGTGGAGATGGAAAAAAATTTTCTTCTAACAAAATGAACTATTTATTAATATCTAAAAGCTCCTAAAATTTCAAGCTTCTACAGTCTGGGGTCTAGAAGAAAAACGACATCAAAAATTTGGAAAAAAAGGACTTTAAATAACGGTAAATTTGAACGGCCATTTTGTTTTTCTAAAGTTTAACTATAGTATACCGCGGTAGGTGAAGCAACGCACTGCCTTTCTGCGTTTGCAAAATTTCAAAAATGCTTATGGTTTCATTGCAACAAATAGTTAAAATAGGCCGTTTTTAGTGCTTTGGGGGGGTATAACTTCTAGAGGGGGGGAGATAGGTAAAAATTTTGTTCTACGAAAATAAGTTTCTAGTAAATATCTATGTACGTATTAAATTTCAGCTTTCTATCTTTAAGAATGTAGAAGTTTTGTAAACAGACAGACGGACGGACGGACGGACGGACGGACGGACGGACGGACGGACGGACGGACGGACGGACGGACAGAGTGAAACTAATAAGCACTTTTTTCAAAAAATTTTTTGGAAAAGTGCTAAAAAGAATAAAAATTTTTATATAGTTTCTTCTCTTATACCCTCCTTATATTTATTGGAAAAATTAATTTATCCAATTTAGTTAACAAGAAGTTATGACTCTTAGTTAACCTCATTTCCTATAATATTATTTTATATTATAAAAAAAAAGAAGAAACAATATTGTTCAAATTTTGGTTCTTGTGGTTAAAACTTTCTTGATAGCTCCGTGGTAAATAATAAATTTTATAACAAAGATTTATAGAAAAATTTTTGACTTAAGAATAAAATTTAGCAAGACAAAGTAGATTATATTATTAAAAAATTTTCCAAAAAAGGATTCAAATTATTTTTTATAAGTAAAAGTTACCATTTTACTTTTTTTTACGCGGTCTCATATTGACATCGCCAAAGAATAATAACACTAGCATACAATATTTCTACACTTGTCAGTTGTCACTCCTTTTATATATGGCGCGATTTTAATCTACACTCATGTTATCTAGTTTCATTAAAATAATAGGAACAGTTTTTTTACTTCTTTTTTCATTTTGCATATAAGAGCAATGCATCTGCAACTTTAAGATTGGAATTTTAAAATAAAAGTTTTAATGAAAATTTTAACGAAATATTTTTAATGAAAATTCTATCGTATATATACACTGGTATGTATTGTGAACTATGTATAGTATCTAGGTAAATAATAGCTGTGTATTAAATATCATAAAGTTTGGTGAAAATATGAGTTGTAAAATTTTGAAAAACTTTTTCAATAACCTTGTGAAAAATTTACGATAAAATTTCATGAGTGTGCAAAAATTAATTTTTTTTTTTTGAACCAGAAGTGTTAGAATAATAATACTTAACTAAGTTAAACGAAATTTGAAGTAGATTCCACCATAATTTTAAAAAAATAATTTTTAAATGATTGCAGAAAATTTTGGATGAGTTTTAAAAATTTTGTTAAAATTCTTGTTAGCATAAAAATATTTTATCTAAACAAAAATTTTTGTGTTGACGCAAGAAATTACAATTCTATGTTAAGTTGTAGATTATAGATTGTAAGCCCGGGGTAATAGTGCACCGTGATCAAGTCAAGGATTTATTGTGCGTCAACATACTCTCCCAGAAAGTGTATTGAAGTCTCCCTATCTTCCTCACAGAACCTGCAAGTATCTTCACCTTCCAGGCCCAGCCTACTGAGGTTTGCCCTTAATCTACAGTGATCCGACAAGATACCCCAGTGACCATTCTCGTCAGTTTCTTGCCCAGATTTGTGTTAAATTAAAAATAAACTAACTTTCCATAGACAAGGTCTAGAAACATCAATCCCTAATAAAGTTTGCGGTTCTTGAAATCAAATTTAAAAATTTATTTTCCTCCTCCCAGGTCCTTGGTAAGAATAATATTGCGTTTTTCAAAAAGTCAAAATAAATTCCAGTTATTTTTCAATATAAACTTTTGCTGAATTTAAATTCAATGGCAGGCTGACCCTCATTTGCATGTTCTTGCCTAAATTAAAGATAAATTTAAAAAAAGCGACAAATAAACTAATTAATATTTTTGTTTTCTCTTTCAGGTTCCAGTATTCCTGAAAAACTTTCTTAGTTTCATAATACAGGTATTTTTCACTTAAATTTTATCATGTAATTTAAAAAATATTTCGTAAATAAAAAAAAAATTAATAGAACCAAATTTGACCTAATTGGTTTCAAAGTTTAGTTATTTGGTATAAATTTCAAAGCTTCACACTCCTAACTTTTATGATATTTTAATGAAATCGAATAAAATTTATAATCACTTTTTGATAGCTAAAACTTGACTATATCAAAAATCGGTTCAACGCTACCCCAAATATCGGTTCAATACTATAAATTTGTAGCTTATATTGACCTAGAGACAGAAATTTTTTAAATATTTTTGTCATTTTACGATAAATATGCATAGATACGATTTTAATGAGTATGAAGAGAACACTCGCTATGAGATACAACTACATTGCATTCTCTTATAACTTTTATGATATAGGTACTGCACGAAATTGTGTTATACTGATACTGTATCTTCTTATATAATATCTAACACTTTTATATTAAAGATCATATTTTTTTAAAGCTTTTGTTACATGTTGCACATCCTTTTACTGCATACAGTATGAAATCAAAAATTGTTTGAAAATCTGATTTATTATTAAGGATATCAGTCTACGTGATTTAGTTTAATGTGCACGTATAATACACATAAAATACGATATGCATGTTTGTACGTATACAGTGGAGCTTCAATAAAAAAAAATATTTTTTCGTCTTTATTTTCGTTTTTTTTGTAAAATATCTGAGTTTTCCAATTTTATATATGCATGTATATTATAAAAAGGTTGTTTATTACGCTCCAATATTTTTTTTTTGTATTATATAGTACAGGACTCGGTAACCTAAAATCTAATGACTTATTTCAATTCTCTTAATAAATACAAATTTTAATATTTTTTTCTCTAATTTAAAAAAGCTTTTTCCAACTTAGGGAGCAATGCTAATCAATAACCGAATCACGACAATAATTTTACCAATACCTCGTTAGAGCCAATTAACTATAGTCGAACAAGATTTAATTCTAAATTGCAGTTACTTAATACGAATCTTTGCTGTACTAAATTCTTCGATATATCGTAATGAAACATGGGAGTTTTGATCGAATCCGACTCTACTTTGTAATTTCTGGAATATCTATGTTCTAAAAACTGTCCTTAAAAAAAAAATACTTTTAAACTACAAATAACTTATGTCTCGCAATTTCGTGTAGTGTCCATCATATGAAAAAATGTATATTGATATCTTAATATATTTAATTGTCATATAGTAAACACGTTTTAATAAATGTATTCAACTACATTTTATTGAGAACCATTAAGCCACATTGAGCGATTCTGAGTATTTCTTTTTTGTATAATTACGATTCCAGTTCTGTTAAACAGTTTTCGAGAAGCAACTATTATTTTTAAAATTAAGAGACATAATTTATTTTGAAAACTGCTTTTAAATCGTAATATTTCCATGTAATATAAAAGAAACGTTGCCGATCTCTGATATAGTACCAGAAACATATAAGTTAAGTTTAGGCTTTAAGAAATTCTCTATTTTAATACTCACACAATATTTTCTATAAGCATATACAATATTATTATAAAATTTGAGTTATATTCCATTTAAAATTTCTTTAACTAAGTAAAAAAAAAATAGTTCCTTATACTTGCCGCATTTATATGTATGTATATAATTACGATATATCCGAGTACTAATGGAAGTTACTTTGCACCATTCTTTTCATAAAATTTATTACTTTAACGTTACGTTATTATTATATTCCTATTGAATTTTAAATAAAAATAAATAAGAAAAATTTACTGCAATTGCACCACTTACATTACAATATTATTCTTATATTTTAACTAAAAATGCAGCTGAGCACGATTTCTAATACTAATTAGAATCGATTTTTTTTTTTATGTTATGCGATTACTTTACATATACACACATGCATTTTAAATTTAATGATTCCCATTTTGTATTTATTTATTTTTGTAACAAAAAAAAAAAGGATTAATTTTTTAATTTAAAAGAAATTTTTCCATCTATTTAATACTTGGGCTAAATTATCTCTCTATATACTTTCAAATTTAAAATTTAACATAATTACGTATATGTACGTGTGTACGATAAGTAATTTGTATGTGGTTATTGTAATTTTCTGTACAAAATTTCAAAAATTTTGTTTTAAAATTTTACATGAACATTTCGTGTAAACATTTAATAAGCATGTAATGCATAAATAGTAGAAATAACAAAGTGAAGTTTGATTTAAGCATTAGTCATTATCCTTAAGAAAAATTTTTTTGATCAAAGTAGTTAAAAATGTGAATTCAATATTGAAGCCCTATAAATTGAAGAGCTTGAATACTTATCTGAGCCATTTAATTGTATAGTAAGATGAAAACTCGCATTATGTGATTAAAATTAATTATTGAATTTTGTTTTCGATTGTCCTGTCATTATTTTTCTTAATATTTGTTAACTTTTGAAAGAATGCTAATAAGTCATATGCCAACAGTAAAATATCACCTGCACCAGCTGGAAAAATCAGGTTACATGTCTTCAGGAGCAGATTCTTTAAGGGACAGATACGATACTACTATACACATCCTTGCAAGGGCCCGATACTATCTACGCAACTTCGCAATTGTTTTGGACAGGGTCTTCTCGGCTTACTATACCGTAAAGGAGCTACAAAAAGCCACGAATAGTCACATTGCTATCTACACAGCTTCACATTATTTTTGAGCAGGGTTTCCTTGGCTTACTATACCGTGAAAGAGCTACAGGAAGGCACGAATAGTCACGTTGGCCAAGAAGGTATTGCTCTTTTACCCCTATTAGATTCCTTTAAAAATCAGCAATCTGCAACTTACTGTTTGCTTTTCACTCTACATCAATATTAAAATAAGTATAATATTGATTTCAAAAGCCAGAGGTTAAATTTTTTCTTGGCATAGAGGCTAAAAAATATTCATTTTATATTTCATTTTTATTTCAAATTGCTGCGATGAGCTCAAAATCACTTATTTTTGAGAATGTCATCAAATTGAATCTTCACCATACTATTATTATTTTTTAAGGATAACATTCAATATTTCTGATAATATCAGTCTCTATAACATACTAGAACTAAAGGAATGTATACCTACACATACAAACACTTAGTTTGAACTATTTAAAGAAACAAGAAAACATTTTATAGTTAAAACTAAATTTAAAATTCTTAATAATTTTTTTAAACTAATAATGAACCTGTCAAAAATTATATTTCACCTACAGTTTACACATTATTTCACTTGACTTGACATTTCAATATTTCACAGCATGAACAAAATCATATACAAAAAAAAAATTTTATTTGAATTTTTGCAATCAAAACTTGTGTGAAATCTTTTTATTATTTTGTATAACTTCAACATAAGTATGCATGTGCTGTATACAATTTGTTATACATATCTGAAGTGTATATTAGTACCTACCTACCACACAATATAAAAAGAAAATTTAAAATGCATGGCTACGAAATTCTAAACTTTCTTTAATTCCAAAAATTAATTTTTTATATAATATGTATGTTTGTATATGTCTATGACAAGTGTTCATCAAAAATTTCGGTTTAGTATATATATGTATAAAATGTTTTAAAAATAAATTTTTAATTGCTTCATATTTTCCGGTCAGTGTTGACGTTTATCGTAAAAAAAAATAACTTAGTTGAATGAATTTTATTAATTTCATTACCAATTCCCATTCGTTTATAAAGGAAGTCATTTTAAAGCCTACGTCCATTATGTTGTTTTTTGAGTGAGATTAAAGGGAGTCATTATGGCGAATACGCATTTTTCACCAAAGCTGAGAGCAAAAATATACAAAATTCAGTAACTTTATTTTTGACAATAATGGCAATTTTAATATTTTTAATTTTTAAATATTTCACATGGATTGGAAAATGGAGTGGAATTTGAGTGGTGACCACTTGCAAAATTGAAAATATGGGGGTAAATTATAGAATAGCAGTTGCTTCTTTACTAATTTCCAAAAATATTTTCAATATTCCCAGAGAACATCTTAATTTTTTCTATTATTATGCACCCACAAATATTTTAAATTTTTTTGACGGAGCATTTTTACTACCACAATATTTTCAACAATCACACAATTTTATAAAACATGATTAATCAAAATTATATTTTTAGTTCCTTTTTAAATTTTCTCCAAAAAAAAAAAAAAAAACAACTATATTATTTGAATGACATATGATCTAATTCATCTAAACATCTGCCTAATTTACACACACTCCTACGTACATAATATTATGTACTCATTCAAATACTATAAATGTTATATATATAGATATATTTGTTATACGTTTGAGTGAAAATCCAAGAAGAATATACATATGTATATGTAGGAAAATTTGTTTACATATTGTCAAATTTAGCCCAAGGTTGAATAATATTTGTTTTAATTTTGTGCGATAATTATTCATTGGATGAATTGTTTTCCTTTCAATATTTTCCAATTTATATATTATGTACATATATAAATTTATAGTATAATATTATGATATAAAGATATTATATAAATAGTATTTTCAATTAATTATATGTATATGTGGATAATATATACCAACAATAAAAAATAAAATCTATAAGATTTAGCATAATAAATTTTTTTTTAAAAAATAAACATTAGAATATTGACTTTAGAAATTAAAACAACATTTGAAAATAAAAGCAATATATAGAGTAGGTCCATACAGATAAGTTGTCTTATATTATGTACCTATAGTCATATTTATTGTATGTATATTTATTTAAGAAATTCCCACATACACATACATGTATACAAATATTATGATATTATTGTATAAAATGAATTTGTTATTCTAATTTAAAATTTTATTTTTGGATTAAATTTTCAGATTACAATGTTAAAGGTCAAATTATAATGTTGTTCTGAATATACTCGTATGCTATAAATTTAAATTGAATAAAAAAATTTTCTTATGTACAATTTAAATGGAAAATTTATCAAAAAATTATTTTTATTTTATGCTACTGTCTTGTTTCACAATATGATTTACTTAATATGATAAATTTTATATTAATGGAATAGAATTTTGTTTTAAAAATTAATTATTTAATTGAAAATTTTAAGAAAATTTGGCGAAATTTCAACACATCTAAGTTTATCAATAATCGGCTTCGTTTTAACACTATGTTTAATATCGAGATCCTTGTGGCACACCAATGTTTATAAAAAATTCAGCGCTTGTCGTGTTATTGATTCACACACTGTGCATTCTATTCGATAAATAATTTCAAAAAAAATTTGTTTGCTGTACCTTTAATTCCGAAATCTTCAAGAAAGTCTAGAAGATGACCATAATCAATTACATCAAATGGGTTACTTTAATCAATAAAACCAGCCGCAACGTATAATAACCTTCATATAAAGCATCATGAACATAATCCAGCGTTAACGAAACTGCAAAATGTTGGTTTCAATTGTAAATCTTGAAACCGGTAGGGGAATTGACATTTTGCTACCAGGATGTTATGTTGAAAGTCACTGTGCAAATGAAAAATACGAGAAGTTTTCATTATTCGCTCTTTTTGAAAACCTTAACCCAGGGATGGGGAACCTTTTCTCTATATAAGGCCAAATTTTAGTCAATGCAAAGTCAATCAGGCCGCAAAGTTTAAAAAAAGTCCAAAGGTTATAAATTTTTGCTTTGTGTAGGTTGATGAAAACAAAATTATGTCAGAATATAAAAAATAACATAAAACAGTTTATTTCATAAATAAAAATAGATAAGTAAGTATGTACATTATTAATAAAATAATATGGTTCATTATTTCAATGACTTTTCTGTGATTGTTTGTTGCTCGATAACAATTTTATATTTGGTTCCAGCCTCGTTGTCTTCAATCTTAGTTGGTCTTCCAAATGAGCGTTAGTTAATTGGGATCTCAAGCAGTATTTAATTTGTGTCATATGTGAAAATGTTGATTCACAGCAATAAGTTGTGCCGAAACAGGAGAGGATACGACGAGCATGTTCACGAAGTTTTGGGTAATCAACGGCATTCTTCCATATTTCAATTGGATTCTTCTTATCGTTGAAGAGAGATTTAAATATTTGATCTTCTGATAATTCGATTAATTCCATTTGCAAATAATCAGGTGCCTTCAAAACATCTAACAAGTGTGGTTGAAATACCAGCTGCAGTGTGGTGTCATGTTGTTCAAAATCTTTAAATCTATCGTTATATTCTTCAATCAAGCAGTCTAAAACACCTTTGCATTCTTTAATATCGCAATTTCGTAAAATGTTAGTCATATCCTCTTCGTCGCATATCTTATTAAAATTATTGAAAAAGTTTACTAGCGTGGCATACAATTATTCTGAAAGAAGCCCGGACATAGGATTCAAATATTAATATGGGTTTGTTTTCAAACAAATATGTATGTAAATTTTGAATTCAAACGTTGTTAGAAATTTCATGGCTTTGAATTTTCCAATTTTTAGTTTTCAAATTTGAAAGTTTATGTGCACGGTTTATTTTTCTAAATGTTTGATTTGTTTTCGAAAATTTGGCAGCAAAATTTTAATTTTTAAGAAATATAAGAAATAAATTTTTTTAAGGACAAAGGCCACTAAAAAACAGTTAAAAGGCCGCAGGTTCCCCATGCCTGCCTTAACCTTAATGATAATGATTTTGTGGAAACTATTATTTTAATATCTTTTCAAATCTCGAATATTTTTCTAAAATTCCTCATATCACCCAGAATTAACCCAAAAAATTTCAAATGTTGAGTTCTTGTTCATTTTTATGTTCACTTGCAAATCATTTTAGAATTGTTCACCAATAAGACATGAAAACTTTCGACGTATGAACTAAACTTCCAATTCCAAATATAAATCCGTACATACATAAGTCGGGTTTTTTATAGTATAATGAAATTAAACGGAGTTTCGTTACGAACACTTGAATCAAATAAAAATAATTTCGTCTGTAGCCAATTTTTATTTAAATTTAAATAACGAGAAGGAAATGGATAATCATTATTCAACTGAAAATAATCAGAAATACTGCATTGTTTCCAAACAATTATTCAAAATTAAATTACAACTTTGATTTTTATGCTATAATAAAAAATTTTTTTCTTCTTAAAACTAAGATTTTACCAAATTTCCATTCAATTATACTTTGTACAATAATAATCCAAACATGAAAAGGTAAAAATTTCTTAAAGCAATCAAGGATTAAATTGAATGAATAAGAAATGAGAAAAAGAAAAGAAAATTAAGAATGCATATATAAAATTTTGCGAATGGGAAGGGGCGGAATGGTCTTTTTATGGCCGAAATAAAATGTGCTTTTATTTTGGTTTTTTTTTTTTTTAGTTGAAGATCAGCTGAAGAAGAATAAAATTTATTTTGTTTTTTTTTTTCATTAAATTTTATTTAAATTTAGGTGCACGTAGCGTAAAAAAATATCTTAGATTTAAAAGGACTTTTTTTTTTTTCATTTTATATTTTTGTTCTACTTCAAAAATTTTTGTATCCAAGAACAAAAAGGAAAGAAAAGATGGCTATTATATGAAAGGATTTGGAAAATTGTAGGAAGATACATTGAAACGGCTTAGAAAAGGACTAACTGCAGGAATAAAAAAATGAGAAAGAAGACTCAAAAAAAAAACAAAAAATACACGGCTACAAAATAATAAATACATCGAAAAAATTTATTTTTCCTACTTTATTTTTTATTCATTTGAATCCTGAAGCGCATTTTTCATTTTTTTTTTTTTACTTCTTTTTATTTTGAAAAATAATACACCATGCAGAAAGACGAAAAAAGAAAATGAAATAAAAAAAAAATACTAATGTAAAAGAAAAAGGATAATCAGAGCTTTGTCCAATTTTCATTAAATTAAATTTCTTGCCCAATTCATAAAAAAAAAAGAAACAACCAAGTCCGAAAAACGAAAATATATAAAATCCTTGAAAAAAAAATAAAAAATCTTTTATACCAATCTAAGATAACAACTATTAAATACCGTAGCGTTCTATGTGAATCCTTGCAAAAATATTTTTAAATAATGTGAGTAAAAAGGAAAAATAAAAAAAGCAAAATAAAAAAGAAAGAATTCTCATTTCTTTTGAAAAGTGGTGTGCGATAAAGAATGGGTAACAGAAAAGTGTTGAGCAAGACTGAAACAGAAATAGAAGAAGAAAAAAAAAATTTGTATAAAACAAGCGAGTTGATTTTTTTTTTGCTGCTGTTCTTGTCGAGTTTATCACCATCAAAAAAGGATCATAATTAGAGATAAAAAAAAAAAAATAAGAAAAAAAAACAAAAAAGTGTTGGTCTATTTTAAGAAAGGAATTATAAATTAAGCGAAGAAAATTTTGTGTATTTTTCTGTATTATTTCTTATCCAAAAAAAAAAAAAACAAAACTACAGAGACAAAGATATGCTGGGAATTAAATTGCCTAACTTGTAAATGTTAAGTAGAATCAAGTTTTCTTGTGTTTACACTATGAAAAAAATTTTCTTTCATAATTGAACAATGAAAAATCTCTATACTTTTAAACAATTTTTAATTGAAATGCATTTTTAATTGCTCGGCACTAACTTCGATTTATTTCTTACCGACCACATTGTATACATTGTGCAAATTTCGTATGTTCAGTTTTCGTTTCAAACACATTTCTCCAAGGTAAAGAATTGTTAATAAACTGTTTTTTAACAAAATATCGTTTAGTCCGCCTGTGTGCACGATTCTATCTCAAATTCGGTTAAAACGATTTTGATTAAAATTTTAAATTTTTAAATAAGCTCACATATTATTTACAGATTGATTAACTTTTGGGATATGTCAGATTTCCGGAACTGAACTCTCTTTTCCGGATCAGTTTTTCTATATTTAATGATTCTGAAGAGAATTTTAAACAGGATTACCTTGAAATTTTATATAAGAAGTCCCAGTCGAATTGCACAACTTAATTTTTTTTTTATGTAAAGTTTACCTTTGAATCCCACTCCAACTCCGAAAAATTTCTATTTTCTTAATTTTCGATTCTTATTCTGAATTTGTATAGTCTTTAACCTTAAAATTTGCGATTTTGTTTTTCTTTTTTTTTTTTTTGGTGGTGGTTTCACAGAATAACTTAAAGGAGATTTTAAAGTATTTTGAACAAATTTGTTTACCATGAGCGAATCATTAATTATGCAAGCTGGGATTCAAAAGAGATTATTTTATTTAAATTTCAGACTTTTATTCGTAAATAATAAGGTACAGTTTGTTCTGAATAAAGATTAGCTTTTAAGCTAGATATTTCGCGAATAAGGTTTCAAAAAATACCCACAACAATATTATAGTTGCAATATTTTTTAAATTGTGTTCTTAAAAACGACCATTTACTGTATTTGTAGTTTATAATTATGTTTATTTAATTATTAAAACCTCTCCATTTTATTCATCATAAATAAAAATGAAAAATAAAGCCACTAAAATGAAAAAAAAAAAAAAATTCTATTCAAAATTTCATTTCTCTTTTATAGGCCCAAGAACATCTTTTGGGATTTTTATTTTATTTTTTCCTCATTCCTATTATACTCCTTATTTTTCTTTCATATATAATTAAAAAATATAAAAAAAAAAGCCGGAAAAGAAAAACAAAAAAATTTATTAAAAAAAATTTATGAAAACGAGTAAAAATTAACTGCAAAAAAATAATAATTTACAATCGTTATGAATAAATAAAAAAACTCAAAAAAAAAAAAACACGTCCCGTTTTTTTTAATTTTATTTTTTACTACTGACCATTTTATTGTATAACTATTATATTTATAACTCTCACCTACTTAAATTATATCGTTAAAGAAAACGGAAAAAGGAACAACAACAACAACATTCAACTGGGTTGTTTCGAAATGTTGTGAATCTCAATCTGTCTCTCTTGCTCTCTCTCAATTCAATTGGTTAAAAAGGATGTTGAACAAGAGAATGTAAATGGCGACAACAACGACAAAACACCACTAAAATTTTAAATATAATTGTAATTATGATTGTGATGATTATGAAAAGGGTCATCTTTGATAAACAAACGATAATGACAATCACTGAATAGAATAATTAAAAATTATTTGTAAGATAACCGCGAACCAGAAAATTTTCTGCTTTCCTTTTTATACAATTATTATTGCTAATGATATTAAAACGGGTGTCCTTTATTTTGAATGTATAGGAATTTTTGGAAAAACATTTAACCAAAAATTTTCATATAAATAAAATAAAATTGTTAGTAATTTTATGGTGCTTAGAAAAATGTCCTTTTTATAGTGTACTACAACTGTTATATAGCATTTGACACCCCCTTTAATTTTGGAAAGCACATCATTTGTTTCTATAAAATAAAATTTAAATATCATTTATTCTGAATTTGTTTTAAGTTATTCTATTTGAGTGAGTTAATTTAGTTTTAAAGGACTGGTTTTGAACAGCTGCTGTTGAATAGTAAAAGTAATTTGAAAATTTATTGCGCAGTAATTGCTTAAATATTTCTAATTTAGTGATTATTACTTCTACTTATATCTCATTTGGGTAACGAGAAGCGATGATTTTGACGATATTAAATTAAAAATATTTGAGAAAAAGGTAACATCTAAACAACTATACTCAGGCAAGGATACAGCAGTTAAGAGGATCATGAGTTTCTGTTGTATTACGATGTTGAAGATCATTTAAAGGAAAGTCATGTTACCCCAAAAATTTTATCTGAATGAAACCAACTATTCTTTGCATTTCCTAACCGGAAAATTCCTCAACTATCTTAATTGTCGCAAAACTAATATTATAGTTTTCAAAACAATGCACTAGGCGATAGACATAGATATTTTATTTGTGCTCAATCAAAGAATCTTCAAGATTCTTGTTAAAAATCATTTGAGTCACTGAATACATTGCATTAAATTCCTAACATCGTCCCAATTTAACGTTTATTTTTTGTATTTAAGTCTAAATTTAGCGCCTTCTTTAATTTTTCAGGTCAGATTGAACTATTTCAAGAGTTTATTATTATAAACCACACCTAAATCCGTAAAGCCTTAAATCAGTGTACAATATCGATAAAAATAAGCGAAAGAATTTCATGTGTAACGAAGTTCTATACTAAATTCGATCGTGCTCTACTATAACGTAGCAATTTTTCGAAAACAAAATGTGTCTATACCCCTATATAATAATGCAAAATCATACTACTTCAAATTAATCAATTTCATATAATTTAAACAATGTATTTGGAAAATTATTTTCCCCCTAAGCTATGAACTA